CACGGGGATCGCCGCCCTTCACTTCGCCGACGCCGCGGGAAGTAGCCGCCGCCGCCGCCGCCTCGTCCGTCACGCGTCGCTGACGTGCGCGTTCCCCGGCGGCAGGTGCGCAGACGTCCATGTTTGCCTCGCTGGAGAAGCTCAACCTGAACCGGAACCAGATCTCTGAGGTCAGAACCCCCCCCGCGCCCGATCGATCCTCTAGCGCTCAGCTTTCACAGCCACGCCCCCTTTTTTGTTCGCGTGCGCGTGTGACCCGTTCAGTGGGGCGTGATCGACGAGCTGTCCAAGCTGCCGTCGTTGCGGCAACTTTGGTGCCGGGGAAACCCGCTGGCCAGCGCCGACCGCAACCCCAGGACAGCCAATCAGATGCTCGTCGCCAAGCTGCCGCACCTCCTCGTCCTGAACGGATCGGACGTGAGTTGCCCCGCCCCCTCCCGCGTCGGTGCAAGCGGGTTTGTGAGACGCTGAGCGGTTACCGCGGTTACAGGTGACCCCTCAGGAGAGGAGGGGGGCGGAGTGCGACTACCTGAAGATGTTTGGGGAGGAGTGGCTGCGGGCCGGGGGGCGGAGTCAGACCAGCCGGGAATTCGCCGATCGCCATCCTCGTTACCGCAGCCTCGTCGACAGTAAGGCCCGCTCCGCCCGACGAGCGTTTTCGAGAACCTTCGGCTCACCCTGTCGAAACCGTCACGAAAAAAAAAAACGACGTTTCCGACCGTGCGCCTTTCAGAGTACGGCGCTCCCGAAGAAGGCGAGCTGACCAAGCGGCAGCCGTTCGCCCTGAAGAATCAGCTGTTAAGTAAGCCCCGCCTCTTTCCGCGCCCCCCCCCACCCTGCCGGCCGAGGCTCGCTCTGAGAATTGCTTTTCGTTTCTTCTCCCCCTCGCCTTCGACCGCAGAGATCACATTTGTGTTTGCGGACGACGCGGCGAGGACGCCGCTGGAAAAGAAACTTCCAGGTTAGCGATCGGGACACCGCCGCGCCCTTCTCATCGCAATCGACCTGCTCGAAATATCCGGATGTTTGTGCGCAGCTTCCATGGAGGTCCAGAAGGTCAAAGGTCTCCTGTCTCGACTGCTGAAGGTCCCCGCGACCGACCTGAAGCTCAGCTACACCAGTGCCAAGGTGCCGTGCGGGGGCGTGACTCCGTCTGCGTGCGCGCGTGTCACTCACGCGCATGTGTGTGTGTGTGTGTGTGTGTGTGTTGGTGTACGCAGGTTTTGGGTCCAGAGTACCAAATGGACAGCGACTTGAAAACGTTATTCTTTTATGCCGTGGAGGACGGAGACACGATCCTTGTACGACGCTCATAAACACGAGCGATCTTCCTTTGACTTTTGGTCTTCTCCACGATGACATCACCGGCATCCCTCGTTCCCATGGCAACCCGCGTCCAGACCAACCGGGACACCCGCGCACGTCCTGTCAGCGGCAGCCGCGTGCTAACAGTACTCATCACGTTACTAATATTACGCAATAAAGTCCACACGTGATTGCACCCCCCCCCCGGCCCCCCCCCAAAAAAAGTTTCTTTGCTTGGACTAAAAGAAATGCGCTGTGAGAGGGAAAACATTTCAAAGTGAAATACAGTAATCCCTCGTTTATCGTGGTTCATGGGGACCAAAAGCACCCGCCATAAACGAATATCTGCGAAGTGGCGTCCAATTAACACAAACGGGTAAAAAAAAAATAAAAATAAATTCCGCAACAAAGCTGAAAAACAACAGCGAGTCATATCGAGCGACATCTACAATACTGTACTCCGTGTATATGTAAAAAAAAAAAAAAACACACAATAAAAATACTTTTTTTTTTTTGTTTGAAAAAATCCGCGATGCACTGAACCCGCGAAGTAGCGAGGGATCACCGCAGGCCAAAAAAAAAAAAGACAAGATGTGAAGAAATGGCGCACCACAGCGCCCCCCGGCGGCCACTCCAGGAGGCGCGGCGCATTGCAACAGGAAATCACAAAATGCACCACCAATCTTTCCATCGTCACGCGCCGTTTTCGTTGCTTTTATTTCGGTCGCACACATGAGAAAAAGCAAAAAAAACAAAAAAAGAAAAAGCACGAGACTCCAAGGACGCACCTTCAAGTCCAAAAGTTTCATCGAGTTTGCGCGCAAAGCAAAATATCCTGAAGGAAAAGGAGAGAAAAAAAAATAAAAATAAAATAAAAATCTTGGGTCCATCTTCGCTTTGTTGCGCTGAAGCAAACAAAAAGGCCGCGTGCGCAATCCAGTGATCGGAACGGCGACACGTCAAGTGACCGATGTTGGGGGGACACGCACCGCCGGTCCCTCCCTCACGCACGCACGCACGCACGCACGTCCATTTTGAGTCCCGACCTTGAGGAAGGGGGCGGGGCCTCGTCAGCTACCTGCCGCTCTCCTTCAGCAGCAGCCGGAAGTTGTGCAGCTCATAGATACTGGACGACAGCCTGCGAGACCAGACCGTGTTACGCCAAGACTTCCGAGAGA